TAAATACTTCTCAGACAGAGGGTTCTAACTCTTCTGTCTCCAGCTTTCCCCGGCTCTAATCTATCTCCCTGCTACTGTCTGTTATTTTTCTAAAACAGATCTGTTTATATGACTCTCATGTTCAAGACTTGGCAAAATCTGTGCATTTTCCAGTTTGTTCCCAGAAGCAGGATTTGAAATCTCCCCCTGGCTCAACCGCTTGGCTGCAGCCGGCTGTCTCTTTCTTGGTCAGATAGTTCTGGTCCATGGAGGATATTAGAGGATGTCGGGGCAGGAGGGGGATTTGGGAGAGCATCGTAGGTTGAGATTCAGGCCCAGAGAGACACGGTGGCTTATGCAAGGTCACGCGACTGATGGGTGGCAGAACCAGAACTAAACCAAATGGCCTGGGAAATTTACCTGTGGTTTGGAGGGGAAGTGGGGCCTGAGTGTCAGAGATGTGAGAGACAGAGGAAGGAAGCCTGTGGGACGGTCAGGAACGGGGGCTGCCACAGTGTGCGCTTACTGGAGACAGGGCTCCACTCGTAACCGGCTTGGCGTTGCCTGAACGCTACTGGCAAGTCCGGCCGCAGAGGCTTTGCCTGAGACCACTACCCCACTCTACTGCTTGGGTGCTGCGACTGGCACCTTGGGACCAAACCTAAATCTCTACTTTTGCCTCCACTGCCCTCCCGATGCCATTATTCCCTGTTAGGGCACGTGGGAAAGGAGAGGAGAATACGGGGAACACTTTGCTTTGGGATGGGCAGGATTCGGTGGCCCCCACACGCTAGTCTAGGCTAGTCCCTGTGGGGGGCGGAGGCCACTCATTTTCACGGGCTCAGGTCACTTCTCCTTCCCCCAACAGACAAGTCGCACTGCCTTTGGGATGAGGTGACCTGACCACTTTCACCTGTGCCTACCTCATAGAGCAGTTCTACATCCTCCAGGGAGCTCTGCAGGACGGGATTCAAAGGCATCGAGGATGATTTCTTTGGCCGATGGGCCGCAGGGAAGAGCACGGCTGCAAGAGACAGAGGAATGAGCTGGAGGGGCCGTGAGCGCTCCGGCCGTCTCCCTCCGGGTGCCTGGAGGTTAGCCGGCCAGTGTCGAAAGTGACTGACTGGAAGCGGTAGGGGCCATAAAGTGGGAAAGGTGACAGACAGCTCTGGTGTGTCCCAGGCACGTCAGGGGTTACTCTTTCAGACCGGTGATTTCAAACCCAGCAGCTCGGCAGAATCATCCCAGAAAGTTTTGAAATGTATGTGTACATGTCTGGGGAAATTTATATGAAAATGAAACAAAATAAAAGAGAAATAAGCAAACAAAGAAAACCTCTCAAATTCAACCATTGAGTTCCTTAATGACACTGTTTCCTAATAGTACTGCACATTTTAGCAGTTTATCAGTATGAAGTGCAGGTTTATTTTCATTGACGAGCCTTTTTAATCGGAGGATCAGACTTTTGGCTACTCCCCAGCCCTCTGAAATGTAGCTGCCGAGAATCTGGACACAGGCAACAAATTCACAAAGAGCTGCCACAAGACCCTGACATGTGGCTCTAAGACCATGTGGAGCCAAGCTCAGGACTCCCCGCAAGGGCCACCCAGACTTAGAAATACATTTGGGACAAAGTCAATGATTTGCTAATACTGTTCCTCTGTGGTGCATTTAGGAATGGTAGCTGGAGGGAGATGGGTGGGCTGCTACAGGTAGAGGGGGTAACAAGAATTAGGACCTGAAGCGGAAAAGTGAAGAAAACACTATGTTATAGAATGTAGGAATCACCATTATAAATGGCAGTCCTCCAGAGTCACCTCAGGCTGGGAGCAGACAGCGCCGCCCACCCACGCAGCCCCTCTGTGCACCAGGGCACTGTGCAGAAATGATTGGCAAGCCTGCTGCCCGCTGATAGGAAAAGGTACAGATTCTTCCAGATGCTGGATTGTGATCTCCCAGGACACTGGGCAACTCACTAAAAAATCTATGCGATTTCGAGGTAAGCAGCGCCCCCTGGAGTTGTGCAAAGCACATATTGTGTAGCCATATGTGACAGCTCTGCTTCTTGCTAATGGTGCCCTGCGGCCATCAAGAAAGGTTTCTGTGACGTCCAGTGTACCGTGTTAAAGAAGGTAGGGAACTGCGTAGGCTCTTTAGAAGGGTTTCCATCCGAAGTGATAAAAACGAAACATCTTCGACATAAAGGCATTTATTTCTTGAAAAGCTCACTGGTAGGAAACGCCAACTTCCTGGGAAAAGCTGGCTGGGTGGAGAATTGCTATAATAGTGCTTTCTCTGTACTCATTTATTATCCGTACCACAGGTTCCTCGGGGGCTAGGATAAACATGGTTTTAGGTTTCTGCAGCCCCAGCAGGGCCTGGCGGGCTTCCAGGCGGTGCGCTAGGTGCCGCTGTTGGCTGACCAGATCCGTGCATTGAAGGAGGCCTTGCTGGCCAGAGTGACCAGCTCTGCTTCTGCAGACCGTTGTGGAGAAGGAGGCTATGAACTCCCAAGCAATATTTCCTGGCCCAGCAGTTTAGCAGAATTTGTTTTCTTTGCCAGAAAATTGCCAGTTTCCCACAGAATCATCGATTTCAGGGCTTGAGGAAGCCTTTGCCCCTGTTCACCTATGGCTTCTGCCCATAGTTTCAGGTGGAGCTCAGGGGAGCGAGCGTCTTCTACTCCATGGGTTTTGCACCCTTGACTGCACCCAGGGAGCTTGCAAAAATACTGATGCCTGGCTCCCAGCTCCAGAAGTTCCTATTTCATTAAACTAGGGTACGACTGAGACAGTAAGATTTTTTAAAAGCTTTCTAAGGGCTTCTAACGGCAGCTCAAGTTGCCAATCAGGGGCCACTTGACCTGAGGGTGTACAGAGGCGCTGCCTCGACTGTGTGGCCTCTCTCAGGTTAGCCCAGTGGTTCTCAACCCTGATGGTATATTAGAATCACCTGGGAGTTCTTAAAAACCCAGATGCCCAAGGCCACCTCCCAGGCCAGTTCATGGGCATCTCTGGGGTGGAGGTAGGTAGGCATCAGGACTTTTTATGGCTCCCACGTGATTATAACGGGCGGGCAGGGTGCTGACTATTGGCTCTCTCAGATCCACAGCCAAGCAGATGGTGCCACAGTGCAACGCACACTCCCATCCGAGGCCTTCCAGGGTCACCTGACGAGACCAAGGCAAACGAGTAGAGACACCAAGAGGGTGTGTACTTTGACTCTGCTTCCTCCTTGGTGGGAGATGACACCAAGACCCGCAAGACGTGACCTGCCTCCTTCTGCCTGCTCTTCTCCTCCTACGGTGAAAGGTGGACGAACCCCCTTCTCAGGATAGGATCTGAGAGTAATTTTACTTCTTTAATTCTTCTTCTAGAATTTCTCTCTTGTTGTGAAATGAAAGGTATTACTCTCTAAAACAAACAAACAAACAAACAAACAAACAAAAAACACTCTGGCAGGTGACGGGGGTAGGAGGGAAGGACTGTCCTGAGCGCGTCTGCCTTCCATCTCAGACTTGGGGTGGCCCCTCCCGGGAAATGACTCGCAGCCAGACCTGCACTTTCCTCACTCGACTGTTCCCTGTGAATAGCAACACCCCTCAATGTGCTCACCCAGGTGGACCCCTGGCTCTCAAAGAGCTGGGAAGAAAATGCTTCCGGATTCAAAGCTGAGTCGAATGGAAACGTTACGGTTTCCAATAGCTCTTGTTCTCATACTTTTAAAAATAATTACAGAATTCGGGGGAAAATCGTTAGAAATAGCTTCAGCCTCTAGACGAGGGGACCAATTATTGCTTCAGAAAGTATTGTGGGGAGTTGCAGGCATCTGAAAGACGGTCCCCTCCTCCACCTAGTGCCCCTACCTCCTGCTGTACCCCTCGCATTGCTGTGGCTGCTTTGACAGTGTGCGGAGGGCAGGGACTTTTATGCCCCCTTGGGCTGGGGGGGTGCAGCCAGCTCTGGGCCTGACGTCTCGGCAGCTGCCCAGGCCCGACTCCTTGTGACGGGGACGAGGCCGGGAGAGCAGAAATCAGTTTTCACTGGAGATGCAGCAGGCGATGGGTGAGAGGTTGAGTTATGTCTGCTCCGTGTCGAAACATTCGGGTAAAACTGTTAATCATATAGTCAGTCATTCCAGATGCTTTTGTCCATGACAGTAAAGTCTGGACCTTTCCTGAAACGCTAATGGCCGAAACGAGAGCTGACCAACTCCGAGAGGTGTGTGTGTGCAAAACTTTACACTAGACTCGGTCCTACTTGGTGAGAGAAACAGCGCTGTCCCCCCTGGAAGCCTTTCCTTGTGTCCCCACCGTACACGCTGGTCCTTCTCTTCCTCCTTTCGTTTTCTGCTTCCACTCTGCACATTTCGCATCTTGCCGGCTGTCGCCAGCTCCTGGCGGGACATAAAGGGCTTTATGCTTCCTCTGTTGACCTCGGTGTCTGCACAAAGCTGGGCTCTGAGCGTGACCTCCGTAGATATATTTTGGAATTTTTCAAAAGTAAAGCAGGCATTAAAAAAAAGCAACCGCAAAACAAAACATCCCTGGAGACTCTTGCATTGGTGTTTTGCTGGTCTTTCTTCCTGTCCCTTCCGTCCCAGCTCCCTGATTCATGGAGGTCGTTTGAAGTTTGCCTACTTCCCCGCGTCAGCGATTGCTGCACTGCTTTGGGCAGCATGGTCTTTGCAAGGCTGATAACGGGGAGACCTGCATGCTCCCCGCAGGTAGAGGACCGACTTTCCCTGAGGGAGACGCGAGAGCGGGGAGTGGGCTGGGGAGATCAGAGACCCCATGCCTTTCTAGGCGCCACTGGAGCATTGAGCCTCGGGCAAGAAGGTTGCTAGGGCGGTTTTTCCAAAATCACTGAGTTTATGTACTTTTTTTTGTGTGTGTAAAACTGGGCCAATTTGTTCCTTTCTTCTCTGCTCAATGCTCCCCACCCAGCCCACTCTCCGGATATTTCTTCAGGACGTGAATGTGCCCACGAGGGCCTCAGTGTGACCAGGGGGCCCCAGAGTCACCCAGGTCTCCCCGCAGGGAGGTCTGACCTTGGGCTCGCCTTGGAGCAGAGCTAAGAGCCTTCCCCTTTTCCTCCACTTCCCGAGAACTTGAGAGTTTATGATTCATTGAACCGAGCAGCAGAGAACAAATGATTCACTTGGTAAAGGTCGTGCCGCAGGCACAAAGATCGTCTAGAAACTGGATCCAGAGGTGCGAGAATCATGTGCCACAGCGTACTCTCTCCGTGTCTTCTGGTGAGAGACACATTTGGAGCTCAGAACGAAGTTGTTAAAACGTGGAGCTCAGACGCAGCAACCGATCGTGAGCCCAGCGTGCGCCTGAAATTAAAATCCAGATCTCAGAGGCTCCAAAACCCGGTCTTACCAACTGAGTGAGCAGTGCTATCTTTTTGTCCGCCCATCTGCCCAAAGACCGGGTGTTCCTCGGTCCTGAATAACTACGGGAAGGATTATGTCATTAATTGTGAATGAATGAATGTATGTGGTATAAAATATAAATGAATCACACATATTTAAAGAACATCTCTAACTTTGATTTATAATGTGATATGCAAGGTCAAATTACTGCAACCCTTGATTCCTCGCTTGCATATACCCTCACCTCCTTTGAGCTCTCCTTTTTTCCTGTGTGAACCCTTGGCAGAAGTACAGCCCGTCTCCTGCCCTGTTCCACACCAGCCCGTCTCCTGCCCTGTTCCACACCTGCCCCGGTGCAGCCGAATGCAGCCGGAGGAAACCACAACCGTCACGTTAAGTGGTCACACTTGAAATTCAGGTCGTTATTCTCACTCGGGCCCTTACACGCCACCCGACCAGTTCCCATATTTCCTGATTCCTCTCGCTCTATTTTACTGTGAAATAGATGATGATTTCACACCTTCAGCTTCCTCCTTAAACCAGTTACCTGCCTCTTGCCCAGATACTCTGACTTCTCTTCTGTTATTGTGTCCACACTCCCGTCTACAGCCCACTTTTTCATGTGCGTGGGAGCTCCTGCAAAAA